GGAAGCCCGGCACCCCAAAGCTCTCCTGGAGAGCCATGGCAGCACCGTGGGGACAGGCCATGGCTGTCCCGTCTCTGTGGGTCGTGCTGCCAAGGCCACCCCACCGGGAGACCCCACACAGGCTGTTGGTGAGGGGGGTGAACAGGCAGCACGGCGTGTTTGCTGGCCCGGGGCAGCCAGAACTCTGCTCCCCTGCTCTGTGCCAGGGAGTTTCCCACAAGGATCCTGGGAAGCATCACGGGGAGGAAACGCTCCTGTTTTTCTGAGTCAGATGTATCTGGCCTCAGCTGCTGGTTTTGCCACCTTCTCCCATGGGATTCGGGCATCTGTGTGCTCCTCTGGCCACTTTTGCTTCTCTATCAGCCAGGTGAGCCTGGCTCCCGAAGTCCCTCACCGACAGGGTCTTCTCATCACTCGTGTGGCTTCCTCCTGCATCCCTGGTGGTTTCTTGGTGTCCATTTTCCATGGCTGGCACGAACAGATTCCTTTTACACTGCTCATCACCCTTCCCCTTTTGCCCATCTGGGCAACGCCAGCCCTTTCCAGCCTGGCTTTTGGGACACTGGGAGAGCTTCCCACCACCATCCCCTTCCCTTGCTCCATGTCCCCAGCTCATCCCCTCTCAGCTCACCCTCCTGGGTGCCTGCCATGCTCTCCACCCTGCCTGGCCCTGGGCTGCCGGGAGAGCAGGCAGGATTTTGGCAGGGTGATGCAGGCAGGATTTCGGCACAGATCTGGATCCTGAAGGAATGGGATGCTCAGCAAGGGGATGCCATGGTGAGGGCAGGGAGTTCTGCCATGAATGTCACGTGTGCAGTGGCAACAGGGATGGCACCCAGGTCCTCTGCAGGGCAGGAATTGGGCACCTTGGACTGAAAACAGGGTCTCTGGGTCTTGCCATTGCCCTGCTCTCTTTGGGGACAGATGGGGCTGCGCCAAAGTCACCTGGAAGCCCCCATGTCCCTGTGTCCAAGTGGTTCGATGCCAGTGACCCAGGAGCGGGATCCCTGGCCCAAAAAAGGGACAGAGGGATCTGAACCTTCCCAGCCCTCCTGTCACCTTCCCAGTGCCACTGGGGGAGATCGGAGCTGGGTAAGGTGGGATGGTGACACCGCAGGCTGCCCGCTGTCACCGCAGGCTGCCCGGTGTCACCGCTGCCACGCGCTGCTGGGCACTGCCTGCACCCGCGGGAGGGTAAGAGTAGCAAAGCAGGCACCGAGCGTAACGTCGCCCTGGGCTGTTTGTGCGCCTTTTGTTTGCCAGAAACCTTCATGAATCAGGTAATTAACCGCATTAGGACGGCTCCGCTTCCCCGTCTGAGCGTTATTGGGCAGGGCAGATCTGGGGCATCGCCAGCGGGAGCCCCAGTTGGTTTTGCCTGGGGGGTCAGGCTGCTGAGAGCCCCCCGTGTCGGCTGGGGAAGGTGCTGGGGTGGCAGCCGGGGTAGGTGACATCCCGGTGGGGTGGTGGCCATGGGCAGCGAGGGGGTGAGAGCCGGGTGCTTGCTGTGGGGTGGGGAGGAGCTGGCCCTGTGTCGTCATCATCCTCACTGCAGCATGTGGGCAAGGGCCCAGTGTGCCCAGGGACAGGGTCCCGCTCCGCAGCCATCCCTGCATCCCAATGAAATTGCCATGAGCCAGGCCCATGGCACAGGGACATTCTATGGGGTGATGCACCCCAAAACCATGCGGAGAGCTCCCCTAAAGTCAAAAGTGTGTTGTGCATCACCCTCCTCCTGGCATTCCTTGCTGCCTTTGCCCCACGGCTGTGCAACACCTCAGCTTGGAGAGTCCCAGGCGAAGGGGTGGCTGAAGGGCAGTGAGGATGAAGTTTGCTTTTCACAGGCTTCACCCCAAATCCCTCCATGCCAGCCCCCTTGGGCTGTGCACAGCCCTGGCTCTCGCCTGATTCTCCCTTCCTGCACTTCCCCCTGTGCCTCTGTGGCCTCTGGCTGCGTGTCCGGGCTCTGCAGGGCTGCTGCAGGTTTCTGCAGGCTGCTGGGGGGTCTCGCAGCCCTCCCGACGTGTGGGGTGAGCCCAGCGCAGTGGGGAGCAGCCTCCCGGGCACGTTCCCTGCCCCAAGGCTCTGGCAGGAATGGATGCCCCTCCGCGTGCCGGTGGCTGGAAGGCTCTGGCGGAGCTGCCGAGGCCAGAACTCCCCGGCTGCGAACAATGGGCCGGGGCAGGCCGTGGCTGTGGGCCGGGGCAGGCCGTGGCTGTGGGCCGGGACTCCCCCGCGGCGGCTGCTGAATCCGGCCGGTTCCCTCTCCCGAGCGCCGCTTGCCCGGGCAGATGCCAATAGCTCCAGCGAGCGCCCGGAGGCAGCAGCTCCAGGTGAGCCAGGGGTTTTGCCAGCGGCTGGGCTTTGGGAAGGGCCCTTCCTGGGGAGAGGGTCCTCAGCTGGGTCCTACCCCCCCAAAACTGCCCCTCAGGCCACCACGGAGCCCTCCCCCTCGCCCTCCTCCTGGTGTGAGGACCAGGCTGGGGGAAGTTTCTCCACCCCAGGGGAAACTTCCCAACTGCCAAGGCTGTGAGTTTCCAGGTGGGAACGTTTTTGGTAAATAAAAGTGTGGCTCCCGCTCCCACTTCTCCCCCCCTGCCCACCTTTGCACAGAGGGTGGCGTGGGGCTGCCCTCGGGCCATGGCCAGGAGAACCACCCCAGGCACATGGGTGGGTGGGTGGGTGGGTGGTGACACACACCCCCCCGACCTGCATTGCCAGCAGACCCAGAGAGGTGATTCTGCTGCTTTCCTCTGCTCTGGTGAGACCTCACCTGGAGCACTGTGTGCAGGTCTGGAGCCCTCAATATAGGAAGGATATAGACCTGATGGAGCAGGTCCAGAGGAGGGCCACGAGGATGATCAGGGGGTTGGAGCACCTCTGCTATGAGGACAGACTGAGGGAGCTGGGGTTGTTCAGCCTGGAGAAGAGGAGGCTCCGAGGAGACCTAACAGCGGCCTTCCAGTACCTGAGGTGGCTACAGGAAGGCTGGGGAGAGCCTGTTTACAAAGGCCTGCAGTGACAGGATGAGGGGCAATGGCTTTAAGTTGGAGAAGAGCAGATGTAGATTGGATTTTAGGAACAAGTTCTTTACTGTGAGGGTGGTGGGGCCCTGGAACAGGTTGCCCAGGGAGCTGCTGAGGCCCCATCCCTGGAGATATTCAAGGTGAAGCTCAACAAGGCCCTGGGCAACCTGGTCTAGTTGGGGGTGTCCCTGCTGACTGCGGGGAGGTTGGACTAGATGACCTTTGGAGGTCCCTTCCGGCCCGCACCATTCTATGATTCTGTGATTGATTCTATGACCTCCTGCTCCACTCTTGCTCTTTCCAGCCCCACTTTTCCCTTTGCTGGGACCTTTGCTGCCACAGAGCCAATAGCTCTGTGCAAGGGCAACTTCATGGCAGTGTCTCCTGCCCCTTCTCCCAGGGCTCCCAAACCTCCACCAGCCCCACGGGGAGGTGACCCACAGCCACCTGGGTCAAGCACAGGCTCCTACTCCAAGACCTGGGGGTCCTCCACTTGGATTTGCGGTGGGGTGGATGCTGGGGGGAACTGGGAGAGGCTGGTCCGTGGCTATTTCCCGCGGAGCCACTTGAGGGCGACAGTGACCCGTCGCAGAGCCGCCGCCGGGCCCGCTCCGACTGGGCGAACTGGGAGAACTGGGGCAGCCCCGGGCGGGGAGGGGGCTCCGGAGGGTCCCCTCGGGCCGTCTCAGGGCAACTCACCCCGCGGGAGCTGCAGCCACGCATGTCGGTGGCCACCTAAAGCCCCCCGTGACGACCTCCACCGGGAGGCTGGGGGGGCCATCCCCGCAGGCCCCTTCCCCGCCAGTGAGGTTAACGGGTGTGAGAACCCCGAGCTTGTTTGCCGTTGGAAGAAAAGGCGTCCGGGTTGGATTCAGCCCCGCCGGGAGCATCCCTCTGCCCCGGGGGAGGAGGCTCCTCGGCTTGGCAAGAGGAGACACCTTCTCCCCATCCCTGCTGGGCACCCCCCCGTGTGTGTCTGGCAGAGCACCCATCCTGGAGCACAGAGGTTCAGGCTCTCAAGACCCTCAAGCTCTTATATTTTTCCTTTTTGGTTACCTTTTGTATCTCCTCTTTGATGGAGACACCACCATTGCTCCACCACGCAGAAGGCAGTTTTGGTTGATCTCTGTATAAAGGGTGGCCTGGGACAGGCCGTGCTGCTGAGAAGACTGCGGGTCCAGCAGGCTGGAATCCATCAGCGAGGTCCCATGAGAGCTGCTACAGTGGACAATGCCCTTCTCACGGGGATTAATGGTCCAGCTTCAATTCACCTCAAAGAATATTATGTTGCATCCTTCCCACGTACACCCAGCGGCTGAATCCAGGATCCAAAATGATTTCCCTGGGAATCTCAAACCTGGCTACACGACAGGGTGTCGAGCAATCATAAAGCTGCCCGTGATGTTGAAGAGCAGAAGCTGGAGCTTCCCCCTTCCCAAGACTTACAGGTGCTAGAGCTAATTATAAACGTTGAGGCAAAGTGAAGCTGTGGGGCTTTGAGAAGCCCCTGGTGGCCAAACTGCTGCCGTGTGTCAGTAACGCTGCGCACACGGGGATTGTTGGCATCGGCAACCGCAGCCCCAGCGGAGATTGGGGGCGCTCGGCCCGGCACGGGGTGATGCTGGGGGGGCTCAGGGGAACACGGGTTTCTCCAGAGGGAGTTGGAGTGTCCCCAGGAGCTTAGAAAAGCAGAGGAGCGTGAGGTGCTGCTGGAGAAACCGGTGAGTGGGCAAAGAGGACAAACTGCCCCGAGGGATTAACGGACAGAAAGGAGGCCAAGGAGAAACCTTGCTCGGAGCAGCCAGGAAACCTTTCCTCCGTGGTGGGAGGGAGGAGGAGGAGAACCTGGACACGGATCCGGGGGCTGTGGAAGAGCAGGGCTGTGGAAAGCCCCGTCCTGCTGCTGGGGTGGGTGGCAGGAGGTTGTGCTGCCAGGCACTTCTGTAACGGAAAGGAAAACGCACAGAACTAACATTTCTTCCCTTCTTTGGACGGTAGGAATGTTTTAATTGAGAAATTTGTTTTAATTACATTAGGTGGTATCACAGTCTATTTTACAAGTTCAGGGTAAGAGGATGTGTGGACCAGTTACACAGAAATCCAGTGAAAAGGATAAAAACCTACAACATGAGAAAAATGAAAAGGTTAACTTAATCCTCCAAAAATGAAACGCATTGAGAGTTTGGTGTGAGTGGAAATGGGAGATTATACCCGGCTCCAGAGAAGTACAAAGGAAGAGACTAAGATAATTTACAGCGTTGGTTCTGCACGACCATCGTTTGCCCGTGCTCAGAGACAGCCTCTATTCCCCAGTGGACCGCTGAGCAGGTGGTCCTGTCTCTGAGGGTTTGGTCTGGTCTTGTCAGAGGAGAAAGCAAAATAAACTGATGGGCAAAGGTCACAACCCACGTTGAGCTGGTCCCCAGGGTCACCGCCTACAGGAGTGTCTTCCACTGGATAGTCGGGGGGTTCTGCACCAAGAACTGTATGGAGGAAAACTAAAACAGCTCCAAAAAGCCCCATCTCAAACGTAGAAAAGTCTCACTCTGGAAGTGCTTACGAGAAGATCGTCATCATAGAATTTGGTTTCTATAATAACATTACCGCTGTGGGAGGAGAAGAGGAGAAAGAAGAGACGTTAGAAGAATGCATGAACAGTAGAACATGAGCTGTGGCCTGGAAGCACACGCAGTGAGCATTGTGTCCTCATCCTGGGACTAAAGATCTCTCCACCCCACTCCTACGGGGAGCAGTTCCCCCCATCCCTCCCTTGTCACCCCCCTTCTGGGCTCGGTACCATGCAGGCTGCAGGGACTGCTCACAGAGAGCAAACTTCTGCTCACTTCTGTTGCTAAAAATAAATTAGCAGCCCCAGCACCTTCAAGGCCCTCTCCTTGCAGTGAATTGTGAAAACCGATGGGAATTCTTTTTTTATTCCCCTCTAGTGCTGAGCAAGCTACTTCAACCAACTTAACATGTCATTTCCCTCAAGAAGTGCTTAAATGCAAAAGCCCAGGCATATTTTATACAAACTGCAATGGAAATGTAGATTTGGGTGTGACAAAAGCTCTGACGATTTAACTTGCTGATTTTGAGATTTTTTTGGTAGACAAAAGTAAGAACTTTGGGGCCTTTAACACCACCCGGATACCTGAGCAGTGTGATCTGAACATGGCTAAATAACCTGGCTCTTGAAAAATCTAAGCAGCAGCTCCATCTCCACTGTGGCTCTTGGTATCTGTAGCACCTGCAAAGCTGGACCTGGCAAGAGTATAAGGTTTTTGCTGTGGCATGGACTATGCTTGAACCCGAATCTTGGAATGTTCTGAGTCCAATATTCACTCATCCTGAGAATCCTTCGCGCAGAGCGCCTCGGTTAGCACCGAGTATTTCAACTCCATTCTCTCCTGCCATGGAAACACCAAGACAAACATGAGGTCTTTGGGAATATCAGAAAGTAAGTGGCTTTCCAAGTCTTGGCAGCTGAAAAAAGCTGTTTTCTTTGGGCTGGTGATTCTGCTGAAAAGCCTCAAGAATGACTTTAGGACATCTCCATGAATAGGTGAGAGGTCTGGCCTGCCCACTACAAGTGGACAGACTCCAGGGAAAAAATGGGACACTGGAGAACCCTCAAGGTCACTTGAGAACAGGACTCTCACAGCTCCCAGTCCTGAAAATGCCTTGATTTCCTGAGATGGTCAAAAACAACTTGTTAGATGCCTTTTTTAGTTTTCTCCGAGTCCCAAATCTGGCTCTTCCTATACCGACTGAAAGCCACCAGCTCTGGGAGCTGAGGACGTGTGTAGCACCTACGAGGTTCTGAGCAGACTGTGCCAGGGAGCACTATTGGAACACTGATGCTCTCTTCTGAGTCCCCTCTCTCTTTGAAACGTGCTGTGAATAGAAATTAGTGGCAGTAGTTCCCATCTTGGTGCCTTCTCCGTGCGACTGGCTCTCCTCCAGACAGGGAACGAGAGGGAAAACGCTAGAGAGGGAGGTCTTCCAGAGGACACACTGACCTTGCGGTGAAACTGGCTGCTCCCTGTCTGCCTCTTGTTGGCAGGAGGATTCCCATACCCTTCTGTCTCCGCTGGCAACGTGCTCCTCATGTGGCTGCCAGCACCCAGCAAGCACTGCAGGGAGGGTGGCTTTTTGTCAGTGATTACAGCTTCCCAGGGGCCTCCCTCAAGGAGCCTTTTCCATCGTCCCACCACAGCTCGTGCCTCGCTGGCCACGCTTAGAGGATCGCTCTGACACAAGTGCTGGGGATCACTGTCTTATGCAGAAATCAGTGTGCACAATGTGCACAGACTAGGCATTTCTAAGGAACGTGTGTGAATCCCATCACAGGTGACTGTAAAATGACTGTTTCCTACCTTTTAAGGGTATTTTATCCCCAGATATAACTCCATATGAGTAAATGCATGGTTTGTAAAAGACACAAAGCTTGGCAAAATGGTACAGTGATGAAACAAACACTGGATGATATATTGCATGAAAAGCAACTACCTTGGACAAGAGTCAGTGATCAATAGCTGGATTTGAAAATGGCCCAAACATCTCTTTTTTTTTTCCTTTTTTTTTCTCCTGGATATAAGCGATATTATGCTGCAAAGCATTTTAAAATCCTTTCACGGTTCACCTTTCAAAAAAATTAAGCAATTCTAATAAGGGATCGGTTCCATTCTCTCCAAACTTTTACTGCTATATCAATGCAAATAGGACCTATGGGAAAGCAGGTAATGAGGTTGGCTTAGCCCCTTTTATCTCTCAACAGCTAACAGTAGTGAGGGTGATTCAGAGTTGGTAGCAGCTCCCTCTTTTTATTCCCACTGTGGCCCCCAAGGAAATGCCACACACTGCTTTTCCTTTGCTTGCTCTCACATTCTGTAAGCCCAAGACACTCACGTTAAAACGTTAGCTGGCATCATCTGTGATTCAGGTGCTGCCTCTATCAAGGACTGCCAAGTGTTTGTGGAGTTAGGAATCACAAAACCAAATTCAAAGAACCATTCTGCAAAGTAAAAAGAAGATCCAGAGGCATTTGAAAGAAGATAAAATCCACAAATGGTCCTTTTGCTTTTCACCTGACAGGCTGGGGAACTCCCTAAACTGTCCTGCTGCGCTGCCAACATTTTACATTTAAATTAATTTGTACAGTTTAAACTGCACTGAACCCTGCCCTCCTCTTAAAGCAGATACTCCCTTTCTAAAATAGCTGATGGTAATGATAAAGTCACACCACTTCCTTAGCATTCAGTGGAAATTTCATCACACCTAATAGGGAACAGGGAAACCACACTCCCCCTCTTGCAGACATCCCGTGGATCCAGTTGAGACTAAGCGTACAACCGGCTGCCCAAAAGACAAGGAGCTCAATGTTTTATCTCCCCCTTCCTTCCTCCACCCCAGATTAAGAGTAATATTGCAGGGAGGGAGATCAGATGGGTGGCTACAGAGTCACACGGACAACACTCGGTGACCACAGTAACCCAAAGGCTCCTTTAGTCCGGCCTCCAGTCTGGTGGTGGCCAGCACCAGGTGCTTCTGAGGAAGATGGCACGAATCCCCATAATGGGTGACTCTAAAATAACCTGTTTCCTCGCCTCAGGCAGCCTGGGGGGGATTTATGCCCTGGAGCATGATTACCCAGATTTTTTGCTTACATAACGAAGTGTTAATACACTTATGAAATGCTATCCCTAATGCTGTGGCCCATTAGTCCTGACAAGATGAGTGCTTCAGTGCTACTCTGAAAAATTAAAATCACCATGTTTAACCCATTTTAGTTTCTCTAATCCCAGCTGTGCTTGGGGTGGCTCCCCCTGCTGCAGCCAGGCTGCACACAGAACAGACACGTACCTTCTAGACACTGCCCTTTGAAATAAACTTTCTGTTCCAGTCGGAATTTTTCCATTTGTTCTGCTGAGGAAAAGTTTAACTCCCGAGACACGGCTTTGCATTTCAGGATTTTTTTAGGAACTCGAGCTGTGAAACAGATAAAGAAGCGTTATTTGGACACGATAAAGCAAAACCAGCTGCTTCAGCTGCTATTATAATATATCTGAAATAATCATTAGTGCTAGTACAAGATCACAGTAGCAGGAGAAATGCAAACACAAAGGACTTTGTTTTTACATTTGTAGGAGTGAAATCCAAGATGCAAATAGGTTAAGTACCTTGCCCAGAGCCAGGAAATAAACTTGTGGCAGAACTAGGGATACAACACTGATCTCAGACTCCTGGTTCTTAGTCGTTTATTACAAAAGAACCCATAATTCTTCAAACTGAAATATGAGACGCAACTTCAATTTTTACTTTGGGAAGTGTGCTGAAGATCCCAAGCAGCCGAAGGGCTGCCTGGTACACCAAGCGTGTTAGACCTTCTCACTTCTCTTTCCCTTTCATACTGTGCCTCCCCAGCAAACCACAAACTCACACAGCTCTGGGAAATCATCCTGTAAAAGTACACAAAGCATTTGTTCCCCAAACATCGAGACCCACACAGGCAGTAAAGCCAGTACCGAACCGGAGAGTTTGAGAGAGAGAGTAATTTGGCAACCCAAGGTATCCGGGCTTTTGCAGGGGGTGGGACACCAATAGCAAGTGGCAAACTGTACCTGTTGGATATTTCATAAGGCTTTGTTTTACAGGTGGAGGAGTAAGAGATGGAACAGTTTGGGAGCATCGATTAATATGCTGAAAGGTCCTAATCAGGAGAATGCGGGGGTGAGTCAATATACAAAATATCTCCCAAGCCCATCATACTTCAGTGGTGTGACTGTACATAATCCTTCCTGCGTAGTAGAAAATGTTTCATGTAAATTTATTAGAAATAAAGAGGGGAGGGAACACAGCTGGCATGTGTTTTATGAGCCAAACTGTTCCTAAATGGAAAACATATCAAACTGTCCCTGAGCAGACAGCAGGCTGCTGTTTAATAAAAGGAAGAGGCCAGCAAACCCCAGGCAAATCCACCTGATGTAGAACAGTTTAATGGAGGTGGACCTCGATATGAAACCAACCTAGAAAGCTGGAGGCTTAGGGAAGGTAAGCTACCAACCTATCCCATGGAGCAGTGCACAGCCCATGGTTTGTTTTTTTTTAAAAAAAAAAAGTTAAAAAAGAAAGTTTAAAGTGCAGGGGAAGAGTTTTAAATGTAAAAGCTCTCCAATTATTTTTAGTATTCTTTGGTTTTTATTTTTCCAGCATAGAAATCTGCATGGCACCATCCTTTACTGCCCTCACAAGTACAGACTACAACCTGTTGTGAATAAACATCCCTTTGCAGTTAAGTGTAAAATGACTTCTGCAATTTAGTAATTACATTTCTTTCATCCTCAAGACAGATTGCTGAGAATGTTTGCTTTAATATCGTAAAACTACAAAATAAAAGGTTACTTTTATTAAAAGTAGGACTGTGTAGTCTTTAAACCCCTGATCTAAGAGATTTTAATTTATATGTATACCATCAAGCAGAAAATTGTAATTGAAATTGTTTATCTTAAACTCATTTTGCTTTTATACCTCTTTTTTTTTCAATTAAAAAGAAGACAAAGAAGTTTGATTCTCATCAGTTAGGGCCATTTTAAAACATGCTGAAATGCAGGTAAGCATAGACTTTATCCTACATTTAGTACTGCTTTTTGTTAACCTGAGGATATACTCTACCTGCAGATTTATTTAAGCACTTATATAGCTAACATACATTTAGTCAGATTCTTAATTCCAATTATATCAGAAAGTGATGAATGACACATTGTTTATTTACTAAGCAAGTCATTTTGGGTGCAATTGCATTTAGTTAGAAACTGAAATAATTTTGTTTTTACATAGTTTAGTAAAACTACCTTAAATATTTGAGATGTGTAAGAAGGCAAGTTGTCTTAGCCAAACTTCTGTTATATTTCAAACTACATATTTTCTTAGAGTGGCATGTCCAGCTCTGGAGCCCCCAACATAACAAGGACATGGACCTGTTGGAGCAGGTCCAGAGGAGGTCACGAAGCTGATCAGAGGGCTGGAGCATCTCTGCTGTGAGGACAGGCTGAGAGAGTTGGGGTGGTTCAGCCTGCAGAAGAGAAGGCTCCAGGGAGACCTTATAGTCCCTTTCAGTACCTAAAGGGGGGCTACAGGAGAGGTGGGGAGGGACTCTTCATCAGGGAGCGGAGTGATAGGACAAGGGGGAATGGTTTTAAACTAGAAGAGGGGAGATTTAGATTAGGTATTAGGAAGAAACTCTTTGTAAAAAAAAAAAGTTAAAAAAGAAAGTTTAAAGTGCAGGGGAAGAGTTTTAAATGTAAAAGCTCTCCAATTATTTTTAGTATTCTTTGGTTTTTATTTTTCCAGCATAGAAATCTGCATGGCACCATCCTTTACTGCCCTCACAAGTACAGACTACAACCTGTTGTGAATAAACATCCCTTTGCAGTTAAGTGTAAAATGACTTCTGCAATTTAGTAATTACATTTCTTTCATCCTCAAGACAGATTGCTGAGAATGTTTGCTTTAATATCGTAAAACTACAAAATAAAAGGTTACTTTTATTAAAAGTAGGACTGTGTAGTCTTTAAACCCCTGATCTAAGAGATTTTAATTTATATGTATACCATCAAGCAGAAAATTGTAATTGAAATTGTTTATCTTAAACTCATTTTGCTTTTATACCTCTTTTTTTTTCAATTAAAAAGAAGACAAAGAAGTTTGATTCTCATCAGTTAGGGCCATTTTAAAACATGCTGAAATGCAGGTAAGCATAGACTTTATCCTACATTTAGTACTGCTTTTTGTTAACCTGAGGATATACTCTACCTGCAGATTTATTTAAGCACTTATATAGCTAACATACATTTAGTCAGATTCTTAATTCCAATTATATCAGAAAGTGATGAATGACACATTGTTTATTTACTAAGCAAGTCATTTTGGGTGCAATTGCATTTAGTTAGAAACTGAAATAATTTTGTTTTTACATAGTTTAGTAAAACTACCTTAAATATTTGAGATGTGTAAGAAGGCAAGTTGTCTTAGCCAAACTTCTGTTATATTTCAAACTACATATTTTCTTAGAGTGGCATGTCCAGCTCTGGAGCCCCCAACATAACAAGGACATGGACCTGTTGGAGCAGGTCCAGAGGAGGTCACGAAGCTGATCAGAGGGCTGGAGCATCTCTGCTGTGAGGACAGGCTGAGAGAGTTGGGGTGGTTCAGCCTGCAGAAGAGAAGGCTCCAGGGAGACCTTATAGTCCCTTTCAGTACCTAAAGGGGGGCTACAGGAGAGGTGGGGAGGGACTCTTCATCAGGGAGCGGAGTGATAGGACAAGGGGGAATGGTTTTAAACTAGAAGAGGGGAGATTTAGATTAGGTATTAGGAAGAAACTCTTTGCTGTGAGGGTGGTGAAGCTCTGGAACAGGTTGCCCAGAGAAGCTGTGGCTGCCCCATCCCTGGAGGTGTTCAAGACCAGGCTGGATGGGGCTTTGAGCAACCTGGTCTGGTGGGAGGTGTCCCTGCCCATGGCAGGGGGTTGGAACTCGATGATCTTTAATGTCCCTTCCAACCCACACCATTCTATGATTCTTTGATAATGAAAGGATTATTTGCATTTCCTGAATGAAAGCTGGCTGTGGTGACTGGGAACAACATTGGGGTGTCTACAAGTGCTGGACCTCAGCAACTTACTCCAAGATTTACTTGTGTATTGGAAGAAACCAAACTTTATGGATTTGGGTCTTGCAGATTGCCTCCCAGTTTTGACTGCACAATCCCTGAATTGAGCTAACTGGGTACATGGAAAAGCTCCTGCTGTCAAAAGCTGGTTTAGATGGTTAATTCCACTTTCAGGTGCTCAGGCAGTGATTTTCACTACTTTCAGAGGCGTAATTTTAAGGCTTCAGCAGCAATCCAATACCACATTAATATTCTTTTTGTTTAATCTAAGTGGTAATAGTTAAGTTTAGGTAGTAATACAGTATCGTAATTTGGAACTTAAAAGCTCATTTTTTAAAGAAATCTGTACTTCAAAATAGAAGTCCTGTTAAAGAAATATGTTTTATTCACTCTGCTATATATTTAATTCTTTGTTTGCTATGTCTAGATTTGTGTGTGATTTGCCCTGAATGGCCACAGAACACACACACACACACACAAGTGCTATACAATGACCTTGGGACACACATGGCCTTGATTTTAAAACAATTATTCTGACTGTTTGCCCTCACTGTTTCTGGTGCAGGACTGTACCAGAACTGTATTTCCCCACACCTTCTTTTTAATTCATAGTCAGATTATCCTCCTTTGTTGGGCACCTCTTCCCTTTCTTAGCCTATTTATTGAGAATAATCTATCAATCTCAGCCTTCTCTTCTTACTAAGCCATACATGAACAACTTTTTTCCTCTCTTCTCCAAAGGAAGTCCATCCTCCCACCTGTAATTTTTTCAGTGGCTTCTCCTAACAGCTCTTCTCTGCACCTGGTCCAGTTTGCACTCATCTATCTTCTAGATGGATGACTGAACTGCACACCAGATAAGGTCTTAACAATTCCTTGTACGACTGTCATTAATCTCACGCCAGAGTATGCTTTAATTAATTCCCCAAGCTCCTCTGATGGAGGTGAGGGTTCCTGTTTTACATGTGAGGAGTATCTGAGACACAGTTGAGATATCATTTGCCAAAGTGAGAAAGATGGCAGGAGGGAAATGGGACAACACAACGAACCCTCCTGAGACCCCGCTCCAGCTGTCCCCTGTCCCAAAGCACACCCTTCCACAGCCTGCACTGAACCACAGCAGTGGAACAGCCTGCTGAGACAGAGCGAAGAGGATCCAGAGACTAGCCAAGTATCCAAGGAGAAACTTCTGCAGCACAAAATCTGGGAAGATTTGGAATATTTTGGGCTGATTTTCTTCTGCTTTCTAAATCCTGATTCCTCATTTCTCCTAGATCTCCTGTTACACAGTTATTTCAAGGTGCCAAAGCATCACTAATCTGCACTTTCAGAAATTTAGAACTAAACTGATGAATTACCACATTTCTTTTTAAAGTTGTATTTCAATTATTTCCTACAGTTGTATTTGAAGGTGCTGGAATGTTTTTCTTTAATATAGGTATCTTGTACCACAAGCACAAGTAAGTATCTGTTAAGACCTATCAGCAGAACTGTTTGCTGTTAGCACTGGTATGAGAATCGAGTACAGGTCAGCAAGGCTGAAGGAGACAAAGCTTGGAAAATGCTCTTAGTGATCACTGAGTCACAGCTTTGCTTTCCTCTAGCTCTGACCTGCATCCTCTGCTCCTGGAATCAGGCCCCTCGTAGGCTGAGACGACCTAATACTGGTCCTATTAATGAACTCTTGTCAAAAAACAGATGAATGTTGACTGGGGACCAAATGAGGAGAAAACAACTTATTTCTCTTGTGCCTCAAGCTGGCTTTGAAACCAGCTGTATTGCTGGAAGACTCCTGGACTCACAGCATTTTGCCACAGATCTTCTGTACGCTCTCTGGGCAAAGGAGAATCTTTATACACTGGCTGCCTCCTTCAGACACAACAGATTTTCCTATTTATGGGAAAGGTAAGTCCTAGTAGTGCCAGGCAGAACTCAGTCCTTGATGTTTAACCAAAAATACATCAATGTCACCAGCATAATTAAATGATCAAGTTCACTCATCTTACTGGAGATCAGCTGGGTGGTATTCACACAATAGAAAAGCCTTAATTAATTCAGTGAGGACAGACTTCACAGAGCCAAAGCAAAGCTCTTGGCAAGGGGCAGTACCCATCACAGTGCTCTGTCACAAACGGAGAAGGATAAGGGACAGTGAAGTCTTTGCTACTCAGCAAGGACAGAGGTGGAAGGACAACAGGCCTTCCTAGCAATGGTAAAGGAACAGGAGAGCAGAACAAATGTGCCATGTATATAATTTTAAAGCAGAGGTCAAATTTAGTGCAGGAGAATATTAGGACAGTTGTGTCCAGGCAAGGTAGTAACTGCGTATGCTTCCTCCCCACTGGTTCTCCATTTGAACTCTACCTTGACTAAACCCTGTTGTTATACTGAGAAAAATCAACGTATTTTTATACTTTTCATTTTGGAACCAACACTTGACCTAGCAAAGGTTGGCCACTCATTCCTTACCCAGCTGAGCTCCCCACTTAACACTGTTTAACTTGTCCCCTTTGCCAACCACTGATCCATTCCCACCCTTCTCCATGTGTCCCCAGGTCATTGTGGTGGAAGCCTCTGAAGGTGTGAAGTGACAGCCAGGAACAGCTGTCATTCAAAGCAGAAGCACGCTCACAGCTCTGGTGACCCAGACATACAGCACCACCCAGCCCCAAAACGCACAGTAAGGCCACACGGTACCTTCATGCTCCACTCCAGGTACAGACAGATCTTCTGTTCCTTGCCAGAGGATTTTCCCTGTTTCCGCATCCCGAAGGTTCATCCAATTTCTAATTGGGAAGCAATTAAGGAAAACAAGCTTCTACACATCAAAATGCTGTCCCCAGTATTCTTTGCTAAGCCCTGAAATAGGCTACTCCAGCTGAGATTAAATCAGGTTTTCTGGTTCTCAAAAGGCTAAGGAAGAGAGACGCTTTTCCCCAGAAAATAAATGAACAAATGAACCCTTGACCAGAATGAATGCAACAAGAGTTGTGTAGTCACAGATTTAGTTTTCACTTTAGACTGAAGCTTGTTAAGCTCATTTATCATTTTCCATTGCTTCTAAGGGACACAGGCAATGTCACTGTGCCGCAAAGAAGCAAGAACGTTGCTAACAATAACAGATAATTCTACACAATCATTTGCTGTTCTCCAGCATTTGAAAAATGCTAGAAAAAGAAGTGCTTCCTATATAACATTAGAAAAGGAGTTAACACCAATAGAGCTTGTTTTTCTAGTTTACAAAATATTAGTATGAAGGATTGTTCTATTGCTGTTGACCTGGTGACTGCCACTTATGGGAATTCTTCAGCTGCTGAGTGCTAAGCAAAACGAGCTCCTCTCTTCCCACTCACAGCAAGTGACACTGTGCCAGCTTTCAAAAAGCCCAGATCAGCAAATTATAGGCAAGTATGAAATACCCCTATTTTCAAAGGGGCAATTAATAATGATCTTAAGCACACTTTTGAAAAATCTCTCCCATAATGTAACTTAGACATCAGCACATGAGAATCAGGAGCCCGATGCCGTTTGGAAGAGGGACAGCCCTCAGCCAGCCTGAGGCCCCGCAGCAGCCTCCAGCTCCACAGCCCATCAGAGTGGCTCTCAGGAGCCACCAGCATAAACTAAGTAGCCCAAATAGAGCAGGATCCCCGAGATAAGGCCACGCAAACTAACACCTTTCCAGGTGTTTCCTTTTGCTGGTTTAGTGAGTGCACCCTTCGCACTCTGTACTTCTCAGGTAAGATACTGGAAACTATCTGGGAGAAGAGGAGAGAGCAACCATTCAGAGAACTGACTGGGCAGGTAGAGTAACCTGAGAGGGACAACATGGACCTTGACGTAGGTATAAATAGGAGCTGTCAGAGATATGCATACATCCTCTAACACAGTTTCCAGGCAGACTCACACAAACTTGTAATTTTTCCAGAGCTCCAGGGAAGAAACAGATGCTTTAGCAAATTTTGCATAACAGGGTAACATTTGTTTTAAAATTACGGGTGTGGAGGAGGGAAGGGAAGATGACTGCTTTGGTGCAGAGGCAAGGAGCTTTTCCCTTCCTGAAGGCTGACCAGACTTTCTACGTCCCACTGAAAGGGCAAGAGGGAGGAGAAAGGTGGGAATGCACATACAGGGTCCCTTTTCACAGGCATGGCCTTACAGCTTCCAAAACGTAGCAATAACTTGGAGCACAGGAAGAGGGAGCGTAGGGCAGCCTGCTCAAGTCCTTCTAGACCTGCTCTAAAACACATAATACCTACCACTGGTTCTGTGATTAAGGCAGAAGTGAAAGGGGGAGGAGACAGAAAGCATCATCCTTGGAGGGCCCCATATGCCACCTCCATATCCTGGCAGAAAGCTGGAAGGTGGGGATGACTTCCCAGCCAGCAAACCAAGGAAGATGGGAGCTGTAGGAAGGCAAGGCAGAGAGAGAAAACGGGCAGCAGCTTGGCAAGAAGAACCTGCAGCAGGAGGTTCTTCATGACTGGGCACTTCATGTGGTGCTGGCTGGAAAACTCAAAGTCAACGCAACCCGTAGGATGGAACCACCACAACCGTAATTTAAAATGTCCAAAAAAATGCATCATTTTTAGATCCATCTTCCCACAGAGAAACATACAAACTAGCCAGGGTGAAGCTATTTGCATAGAAAGCAGTGTGCAATCTATCAAACACCATGTACGAGGGAAAAATAACGAATGAGACAATCTGAGCATCTCACTGACAAATTCATTTATCTTCACAAAACCCTGTGATGCAAACACTTTTATCTGTTATCAGGACAGTAATTCAGTAAATTGGTCACTTGATTATCAAAAACTTACATTACCTTTAAAAAATGATCCCCTTCAGAAGTGTTTATTTGCTCTTTGTTCACTATCAATATCAGAGGGAGTTATGAGCTCGCTGGTCTGGCCATAGGCTGTGCAGTGCCAGACTGAGCAGTAGGCCAGAATCTCTGAACTGGAGATGAAAGACTGACCAGAACAGCAAACCCAGCACTGCACAGCAACTGATCCGGCCCCCACAGTGCTACACCAGTACTCTAACTAATGGACTAGCTTTCTTTTTACTTGCCATGCCTTGTCTTGCCTTACTTTCCTGTCCCTCTTCCCTTACCAATTTTTGGAGCAGTTTGAAATCACACTTGTCATTTTCAAAAGTATTACATTAGGAGTGCCCTTCAGAGAGTATAGATAGCCTCACAGCTTAATTATTATCCTTACTTGACATATATAGTTATAGAGTTATAGTGACCTACTATTTCTGGTGAGAGAAAACACTGCTGTAGACTACTGATCTCTGCTGCTTCTCCCTGTAAGGATTTACCTCTCAATCCAGTACAAGAGAGATAACACAAGTTATGTTGCCACTCTGAACAGTTCTAGATATGTTAATATTTGAAGTGTTAGGCTTCTACAGAGTGCTATCAGACTTTATTCTGTATTGATGTTCCCCTGTAAGAGTAAATCCATGCAGGACAGCCTTCTCCATGCTTTGTAATCCGACCGTCAAACTGAGATGAAGAATAAATAAAAAAGCTCAAGACTATAGCCCTGCTGATGAGAGCATGCAGGTCAGCAGTGCACACCACAGTTCCTAGAAGATATCTTGTATTTAAACATCCTGGACATTGCTAACGCATGTAAATTCCGCATCAAATGAGTAAAGGTTAGTGTCAGGGTAGCCAAAGGCCTTCTGGCCTAGGCAGAGGCACATGCAGGTTCAGGACAGGCTTTTCCAAATTCTGCAAATAAAAAAACTGCAATCAACCTGCTATTCAGTGTTAAAATATGTGCATCCACACATATTTTAAGGGGACAGAATAATCTAGCCAGTTCATAAATTTTATCCCTGTAACTAAGCATTATTAAAAGGGAAGAATAAATCATCAAATTAAAGATTGCATAAACACAATCCTCTTCTATTGGAAGAACACTTCGTGTTCAAGAGATTAATTCTTTTTTTAAAAAATAAATGTTTAAAAAAACCCAGGCATCTGAAAAAAAATTCCCAAGTCAAAATCAAGATAATTTCTAAAACTTAACTGTAATGGAATTATAAAGAAAAAAAAAAGGTCAAAACCCATCACAAGTGATTTTTTTTGGCAAGGGAATACCTGACAAAGCAGCAGCTGTACTGCTTACCTAGTTAGCAGCTTATCACACTATTTCTGTCATCTTGGCTAGAAAGGCTGATACTAGGACATACCCCAGAGTGAAGAAAATGGAGATCTTGAACCAAACCCACACACACTATTATCTTCTAATGTGTTTAATTGGTTTAAGATTCTTCCATCCCAGCATGAGAGATATTGTTACTAAAAATAAAAAGTGCTCCATCTTCCTAGCAGCAGTGCAGACCTGCAGGCAGGATGAAGAGGGCATTTTAAGTATTATTGAAAAGGAGAAAGTAAATTAATATAGGTTTAACACAATTACTCTTTTTGAAGGGGCTCATGTCAAGCCACCTGGCAGGGATAGCTAAGGAGAGCAAGTAGAGAGCCAGGCAGCTACAGCTTTGTGAAGTTAATATATATGAAAAAAAAAAGGAAGAACAATAGTATATTCCTAATATATGCTTCTCATTCTAAAATCACAAGAACACTCTTACACCATTAAATTTTCATTCTCCTGGATTTGGGGTGGTTTTTTGTAGGAAACAATGTCTGATTTAAGACTCCATAGATCAAATACTCTTCAATCCTGAAGGCAAGGAAGGATTAGGTAGAACAGCAGAAGGAAGGGTGTACTGTTGATCTATTTATATTCTACCACCTATTGGGTCAGCAAAGTCTTACATAAAAGCTTTGTAGTAGCTGGAATTCAACTTGCTTTATATACATGACATGAATTAGCTTCCTCACAGACCTACTTTGCTTAGCCTGATGAAGGAAAATGGTTTGTGCAGTTCTAAATTCAAGTTTTGTTGTCTTGAATACCTCTGATCTCGGAACAGAAACTCCTCCTTTATTCTATCTGTCACAGTGATCACTTCGTTCAAACAAATCAAAATATACATACTTATCTTTAACTGCTTTAGCATTGCAAAAGATTCGCATGTTATTACCACAGTGGTAATTAAGAATAACCTCGAAGGAAGAGAATGAGTAGAAACAGAATTAATCATTAAAGTAGTACGGAGTTAAAGAAGTTCTGCCCCAATCTCCCTGACTATTATTTGTGTGCTGTAAGGTTTAGCACTTCTTGAATATCTCAAAGGCTGCAGCAAACAGCAGGCGTCATTTCTTCCATTAAAACAGTCCATTTTCCATTTTAGTCCTCCCTGTCTACACCATTCTAAAACCTTAGGAACTGCTGCACTGTTATCTTTCATAATAAAAGCAAGCCTAATGTTCATAATCACTCCTGGAAGGGAAGGTCTTTCATCATCTTTGCTGGGTGTTGCTTTTTTTTTCTTTTTCTGGTACACGAAATGCAACGTTAAGAACAGTTCACTACATCCCAGGTGCAAACAGGATCTCAGCAATTATGTGTTAATAAGAATTGTCCTATGGGATAAATGACAGAGAGAAGATGGAGCTGAAAGGCACAATTCAGATATCTCTGTTGCAGACCCAGAAAAGCTTCTGATCTGGATTGCCCAACCTTCACTCCTGATTTTACATTGTTGTGAAAAGCAGACACAACCAGGCACTCAGGACATGGGCGAGCATGTTACGTTAAAGAATGTTACAGGTAAGTAAAGATGAGCCTTTAGGGATTATATTTTTATCAGACATATTTTCCCAGAAGAATATTTGCATCTCAGTCACTTCAATCCAGTC